ACTATAGAGTTAAATGTCCATTAATAATCTAATAAAACATGTCGATTATACTATCAAGATAAATGTAAACGATTTTATAATTTATAAAAATATACCTTTTTAAAACATTCGTAAACGTATACTTTCAGAAACGCTAGTCTAAATTGGCGAAGAACCGCTCTGGCCCTGAAAACAGACCTGTGAAAATTTTGGCACACCAGTGCGACCAAGGAAAAGATTTAGTCGCAGTTGACAGATTTTTGGTGCCATGGAGCCTTAGATACCTGCACGTTGGAAAGATGATGTTTTTTCACGTTGCAGCCCCTTAAAATCTTCATGCCGCCCTCTTGCCTCCGCATGAAAAATTCTCTAGATCCGCCCCTGGCTGTTACATAATGGCACATAATGCTTCAAAACGCTTTTTGTTCTGAAGGGCTACAGGATGGCTTAAACGCTGTTATGCCATAAGGCTGCAATGCTGTCAAGTAATTATGCTAATATACTGCATGAAGCTGCATAATGCTTCACAATGCCATTAGGCCACAAAGCTATAATGTTGTGTAATACTCTCCTTTTGGGAAGTGATGTTATGAAATGGTCCGTAATGGTGTATAATGTTTCATAATGCTGCTGTGCTATTTTGCTATTAAATCTAAGAGGAAGGCAGCATATATATGTGTAAGTCACAGTGAAGACTTATTGTGAGATACTGAGTTACAGTAACAGTTTAGAAGATACTGGTCCTCACCTCACTAAGACCGTGGGTGCTCCTTCAGGGACCTATCTGATTGATCATATTGTTTTCTGTGAAATGGATCGACATACGTTCATTGCCGGCAATAAGTCTGGAGGACACAAGCTGACCGATTCTGCACGGAAAACCTTTGCACAGTCATAAGCTGCGTCATGTGCCCTGGTGCGGCACAGCGGGTGAGACAGTTAGCGCACAGCCGCAGGGCTGACTGTCCAGTGCCCGTGACAGGCAGCCTTTTAAGATAATTACAGTTAAAACACACCCCCCCCCACACAAACAACACACACACACACACACTATTCCCAGGCTGCTTTTTGAGACCACCCCCCCCCCCCCCCCGGCCCCCTGGAGCAGCAGACAAGGTGAGGGCGGGTCAGTGGAGAACCAGTGAACTTGTAACATGAAGTCGTCCAGGTGTGTTTCGGGAGGGGTGGGAGGGGGTGGCACCCAGTGCTCTCTCCATGTTGCTTTCCCGGAATTGCTTCACTGAAGTACCCAGCTGTAAGCATGAGGTAATCCGTAAGACGATTGAAAGGCAGAGGAGTGACTGTTCGCATAAATATGCTGAAACATATTGGTGACATTTGCGGGTTACAAGCTTGGTGGGTAAAGATACAAATGTTTCAAACAGCTCTCAGTTCCTTGAATTGCTTTGGTACTTTTGTATCAAGCTGTGTAAATGATGAGGAAATTGTCAATGGGGAAAGTCACTTTGGACAAAACACTTTGGTATTAAAATAAAATAATGATCAATCCTCCTGCAGTGATTTATGTGATTAGTGCTGATTTTTTTTTTCATCTTTTTCTTTTGTTAACGCTGTAAACAGAGGACTTCCATAGCTGGGTTGGCGACCTGGAATTACTGGTGAAAGTAACTGTTGAGTAAATTGGATGCTTGTCGCTAGGTGGTAATTTCCCCAAGCATCTGGAGCTTCCCTGGGATGTCGTGATGTGGCATGTTTCTCCAGAGGATGTTACAGTGAATGTGCAGTTTGCTGTCCATAAAGCACGCCAGTTAACAAGGATGTCAGCACTTGGAACAGATAGTGTTCATTGTGGGACATATTATCTGTACTGAAATGAAAAGGCATGTTGAAGGTGCCGATGACTGTCAGGGGGAGGGTGACGGGATCCCGGAGGTGCCGGTGACTGTCAGGGGGAGGGAGACGGGATCCCGGAGGTGCCGGTGACTGTCAGGGGGAGGGAGACGGGATCCCGGAGGTGCCGGTGACTGTCAGGGGGAGGGAGACGGGATCCCGGAGGTGCCGGTGACTGTCAGGGGGAGGGCGAGACGGCGAGAGCCGCTCTGGAGGCGCCTTCCTCACCTCCTGCAGGGCGTTACAGCGATGGGGAAGTGAGGGCTTGGCTATTTATAGCAACTGTTGCAGGAAGAAGCAACATCCTCTTCTCTCCCCCTCCCCCCCACACCCACACTTACCTAATACCCCCCCAGCCACTGCCCCGGGGGCTGCTGGGAAGCAGACCCCTGCAGAACCGGCTGGCGTAGGAGATGCCATAGCTCTCTGTCATTGTGTCATTCCCTGTCTCTTTATCTCTCTTCCTCATTCTCAGGCCCTATCATTAAAGATGTGCTGCTCATTTTAATGGGGAGCATTTCAACAGGCCGCTATTGTGCGGATGAGCGGGTGTGGGAGGGAGATAAGCATGGGCCCTGTCCGCCATTCCCTTTGTCAGGTCCTATCTGTCCCTGTAAGACTGAAAAAGACATGGGGTACCGTCAGTATCAGGGACAGTAGAGCTCTGCAGTGGTTTCTACCTTCCGTCTGACAGAAAACCGCATCATAGGGTTGTATGGCTTGATTGTATTTGGTGTGTTTCTTGTGACTCCAGGTGTACAAAGGTCACACTTGAGCCTGAACTGGAAAGGCTTTTTTTTTTGGATGTCAGACCTGGAACGATGGGGCATGGTTGAAAAAAATTAGTTTGTGTATTCATGCTGTAGATGATATGATGAAGGTTGTCACATTCACATCACAGCTAACAGACTGAAGGTTTGTGTATTTACGCTGTAGATGATATGAAGGCTCGTGTATTCATGCTAGATGATGTGGTGACGGATCCTGTATTCGCGTTGTAGATGATGTGGTGACGGATCCTGTATTCGCGTTGTAGATGATGTGGTGACGGATCCTGTATTCGCGT